AACCAGTGCCCTACCTGGGCATAATGGTGTCTCCACCTGGCCTCCCACATCGATCCTGGGCCCATCTCTGTCTTCACTCAACAGGGATGGGCCAGCTGAACCTCTGCCTGCCCCTTAGAGCTGGTCCTGGGCCCATCTGAGTCTATACCACGTGCTTCAGGCCTGAGTCCTACCAAGTGTCTGTTGCCCCATGTGCTCTCTCCACCCTCCGGAGTCCCTGTCTGGCAACCCAGAGCTGTCCTGGTTCCACTGAGCTTCTACTGAGTGCCCCAGTGCACGTTAGCTCCCACCTGGTGCCTGGAGCTGGTCCCATGTGCAACAGAATCTCTACCTGTCACACAGGGCCTGCCCCAGGGCATCCCAAAGCTCTGCCTGGTGCCCTGGCCTACTGGAGCCTCCTCTAAGCACCCCACAACACTCCCAGGCCACTTGAATCTGCCAGGCACTCCAGAATGCTCAAAGTCATCCAGTGCTGTACACCCTCCCTGCACTCATCTGAGTCTCTACCTGATGCTCCACAATAGGCCCACAATTACCTGACTATCCATCACAAAACCCTTACCTGCCTGAGCTCAGCCTGGCATCAACACCTACCAACTCTGCTACAAATCCTTCAGGAAGGAGCGTCTAAGGCAAAATTGGGGTGCAGGTCTGATCCTGCCTGCTGGATGAAGGGGAAATTGAAAAGAAGAAATTCATGAGGCTGCATGCAATCAGACTACAACTCGGGCAAGACAGGAATTGTGGGTTCACAGGCCATATGGCACAGCAGACACATGGACATTGCATTTACGAGCTCCCGTTGTAGCATTTGAACTGGGTCTTAACTGGATCTTTGTTGTTGCTTTGCTTTCTTTCTCTTTCATGTCTTTTTGCATTGATTTAATAGTCTCTCTCAGCCTCTCTCTCTCTCTCCTTCTCTTCTCCTAGCAATTGGGGCAGTATTAGTGTCTAATTTTTACAGTTTTTTCCCATCTTTTCAATACCTACCAAGTTTTATTTCTTATAATCTGCGTTTTTGTCCATCACTCCCCCTTCTCTCATATCAACCTCTGGCTGATGTATTCTATGTTAGCTCCATTTAGTATAACTAACTTTCCTGGCTTCTTTCCCAACAGGTGCATAAATATATCAGCAGGTTCTCACAGTTTTATAGCTATCCTCAATCATAAGTTACATCTCCCCCTGTACATACATCTCTGCCCACAATTATCTTCTTTATACTCTTACAACTTAACCTTGCATCATCAATACAAAATCTTTAAAAAAAATCTGATGCCCTAGCCAATATTTTACCTAATATAATTTCTTCTATTTACCTCTCTCTCTACTGACTCATATGTCTCTTTAACCCATCCCTCCTTCTTTTCCTTTTCTACTTCCTTTTTATCTTAGGCTACCAATGACACTACAGTATAGTTTATAAAGGGTATGGTTAAAAGTGTACATGCATGGCATAACACACATTGTCTAAGCAATGTATGATCAAATTTGTGCATGCTGTATAACCAACGGTAATTCCTCCTTACAACACAGTATCAGGGATAAAACCATTTAAATTAAACAGTTGAAGGGGTGAACAATATCTCTGGAGAAATAAAACAGCAAACACATCATCAAATGACAGAAACAAAATAAAAAGATCCTCATATGAACTACAATTTCTCATCACTGTACTAGATCTTAATCCATGGCTCTAATGTGAATATATAAACTTAAACATAGAAACATGGGAAAACAATGCAGGAAAAGGCCCCCTTGCTCTCCCACCTCTCCCAATACTGATCTGTGGGCATTAACAGAGAGGAAAGTAAATATAAGGTACCAAAGCTCTATGAAAAGCTTAAAGAAGAGATGAAAAATCTGACCAATTCAAAAACAAAATAGGCCAATAGTTTATGGAGCTATCATTCAAAATGTCCAATGTGGATTTTGGAGAAATACATAAACATCTGGAAAAGCAGACCAAAATGATTAAAACATGAATGATGAATTCATCAAAGATATAGAATCATTAAAATGTACCAGATACAAATACCTATAATTTTTTTTTAAAAATCTACAGAATTAATAAACTACAAAAATGACCAACTGAAGACAGAGGGCCTGCAATGGAAGATAAAAGGTAAGTTATGATGATGTACTCTAGAAGACCCCCTAAAAAGAAGAGAGAACAAGAAAAATTCATCCAGCAGCTGGTAGATGACATCAACAAGATGAACTAAAGGCCTCTTGGAGTTAGAGAAAAGCTAGAAGATAACACAGACAGAATTATTAATTTATTTAGTTATCATAATAGAAAATCTTCCAAATATGGGAAGAGGTATCTTAGTTACATTTCACAAATTGCTGAGACAAAATACCTGGCACTCAAAGTTAAAGAGGGAAAGGTTTATTTAGATCACAGTTTGTCGAGTTTTCAGTCCATAATTGGCTGACTCCAAGGCAGCTTGGCATGGCAGACACGCATCGTAAAGGAGAAACAGTTCATGATGGGCAGAAGATAGCAAAGAAAGCAAGAGACAAGACAAGCCTCTTTCTGACCCTTATGTTGTATCCAGGCTACTGGGATTAGGGCAGAGCCAAACCAATCACTGAACTGATTTAGTAATCACCCACTCTTAGTCCTAGCACATTTAATCCTAGCATTGCACCATGAGTCAGTCATATACCGTAGATTCAGCCACCTCAGAGACACCCAGAATATTGTAGGTTGCAACACTTAAGTCTCAAAATTATGGCCAGAGACAAAGATCAGCGTAAACTTCAGTGGATTTGAAAGTACCAGAACTAATACCCTGCCCTAATCCTACAGAAGACTTGCTAAGATTATCCAGCAATCCACCCACCCTAATGCTACTCCAGGTTTGCCGGGATTACCTGGTATGGATCTGGGCTCTGACTCCCTCCTTTGTCTAGCAGTAACAGCACAGGTACACCCTGAGTTAGAAAAGACCACAAAACTGTAGACACTAGAAGAAAACCACAGGTTTGAAAGCACAGAAAAATGTCTTTTATATTTTCCTTTGCTCTTGTTTTTTTGTTGTTGTTGTTATTTTTAGGATTTTGATTGTTTATTTTGTTTTTTTTTATCTTGGTACTGAGAATCGAACTCAGGGCTTTGCACTTGCCAGGCAGTCACTTGTGCCACTGAGCTATATCCTTGGCCTGACCACACCTTCTAAATCCACTCACCAGTTGATGGGCATTTGGGTTGTTTCCAAGATTTAGCTATTACAAATGGTGCCATTGTAAACATGAGTGTGCATGTATCACTGAGATATGATGCTTTTAAGGAAGATACCCAGAGAGGGAATAGCTGGGTCAAATGGAACGTCTACTCCTAGGTTTCTGAGAAATCTCCACACTGATTTCCACAGTGGTTGCCCCAGTCTACACTCCCACCAACAGTGGAGAAGGGTTCCTTTTTCTCAAGTGCCCCTCCAGCATTTGTTATTGGTTGATTTCTTGATAATGTCCATTTTTGGGGGTAAGATGGAATCTCAGAGCTGTTTTAATTTTTATCTCTCAAACGACCAGTGATGTTGAGCATTTTTTCATTTCATTATTTGCCATTTGTAGTGTTACAGCTGAGAAGTGTGTATTCATCTCAAATGCCCATTTTTGGATTGGGTCTTTAAATTTGGGGGGAGGGTCTGGTTTTGTTTTTTTTTAAATTCTTTATATGTTCTAGATAGTAGTCCTCTGTCTGAGGAGTAGCTGGCAAACATGTTTTCCCACACTGTGGGTTGTCTCTTCACTCTGTTGGTGGTTTCTCTTGCTGTGCAAAAGCTTTTTAATAAAATGAGATCCCAACTGTTCATTCTTTGTGATAGTTCCTGTGCAATTTGAGTTTTGTTCATAAAGTCTTTACCTACACTCAGAAACCAAAATTAACCAAGAAAATCCTCCTGTAATTACTTGAATCTTGGCATTAAAATATTTTCTAATTCTCAATTTCTATTAATTATTTCTTAAATGCCTCCAAAATGGTAAATAAAGCACTTATACCACAAAAATAACGCACAGAACCCTGAATGGTGACATTTACACAAATTCCTTTAGGTTCAAAAATATGGCAAGAATACTCATTGTCTCTCTTTTCTGTCACATGAAACCAAAATTCATGTGTGAGATTGTAGGAAAGAGGAAATAAGTGACATAAGGATTGCAATGGAAGAGAAAAAAACGCTACCCAGAAATGATGAAAGTATCACGGTGTAACATTTTAGAACCATGACAAGAACACCTATGCTGCCTGAGGAGATCAGCTGGAAAAAAAAAAAAAAAAAGTGTTTCTCCATTCTAATACTCACAAAAACTATGTAAATACAATACAATAAAACTGATTCCCAATCACAGCATTATAAATAAATGGCTCTCAAATATTTTTTCTCAAAATCACTAGACAATAACAACGGAGAAAACAAAAGTCCTCCTGTTTATGTTTAAGAACCCATCTTTAACGTAATGTAAGTTCGTCTACAAAAACATGCTTGGTTATTAATAGAAATGTAATTAAAACATTGAACTTGTATCAGTTTTTGTTTGCAAAAACTAATGTCTGCCTTGAAAGCAGTTTGGCAATGAAGGGACATGTTGCAAATTTAGGATGTCACTGTCATCGAAAAGACCTTTTGCTCCTGGAGAAAAGCTTTGGGTTTGAGATCCTGCATCACAGATATTTATAAAATGCAGGTCCTCCAGGTGTGCTGCAGGGAGAAATGAGACCAGGGACCCAGCACACCAGAACTCCCTCAGTTCAACCCCTCACCGAGTCGGGGTCTTTCCAAGACCCAATCTCCCCTGCACAGGTGAACACGGGGCTGCGGCCCGGGGCTGCCCGAGCCTGCACTCTGAGCTGGTGGTAGTGCCTGGGAGTCAGAATGCTGGGGGACCATGAGGATCTCAGAGGGCAGCACACAGGAGGACTCCAGCCTGTCATCGCTGGTTCCCTCCACTCCATCCAGACCTCGCCCCCATCGCATCCCATTTTGTACCGTCACCATGGTGCGACTTGATTGTTGTTCACGGTCCTTCCTACGCAGCAGAGTCGGGTAGAAGTCATGAAGTAATAAAATCAAGGCAGGTAGTGCAGTTCTCAGCAATGAGCTCAGCCTGCAGACGTAGGCGCCATGCCACCGGAAGACCCTTCCTCCTCCCATCTGATTGGACAGTTCCTAACGCCCGCCTCTCAATCAGTGATTGGCTGCTGCTCCCAATCTCCTGAGCTGAGCGTGACAACAGAGACAAATCCATTAGAGCGGCTCACATAGTGCATTGTAACTCAGAGACCTCTAGACAGGTGTCTCTCCTGGGATATTTACCTGTCCTAATTTGAAGAGATAAATGAACTTAAGCAGAGCTTGCTCACGGACTTTTAGAGCTTCCACTGTTTTGTTTGTTTGTTTTCCTTTAGAGTCAGCCTGGCTATCTCCTTTAGGCTGTTCGTGATTACTGAAATACAACCCCTACAATGGATCACTATCTGGTGAAGCAGTGGGGATACCTAAGGAGCTCAGATTGTGAGCTCCCCGTGCCCTGTAGCTCTCTCCTCACAGGTTAAACCGCCCCATCTTTCAACACATTCATGTTTCTACAAGGAAAATATTACCTGGAGATACTGATACAGGGGAAAGAACTCCCAACCTGAACAGTGTCTGGGACAAGTTCATGTTCTCTGAAGTAGAAGAATGAATCTTAGGAACAATGGAGGTTAAGAGCAGAACACACTTATTGAGGGAAAGAAAGCTGTCTGAGAGAGGGACAGAGGGGGGCCCAAGTGGGTTACCCAAAACTCATGGAGCAAAACCACAAGGTGAGGTGGGTCCAAGGTAGGGGGAAATGGGAAATCACAAGGTAGGCATGAGGTGGGACAAAACTATGATCAGCCAATAAGAATTGTTTAGGCAAAATTGATTAAATTGGGATCAAATGGGGAAGCAAGTCATGTAGCAAGTGGGCATGAGTACAGAACAGGGGCTTTTCCTGTAAGGGATTAGGTTAGTGGCTCTTCAAGGTGATAGATGTCCATCCCTAGGGAAGTACATGGGTGCATTTGTTTAGTCTTTTGTCTTGAGGTCGGGCCCACAGCAAATACGTCTCCATTTGCAAGGTATCTTGTCTTCCATATTGGCTCCTTTGAGGGCCTGGACTTGTTTCACTGCCTATAATATTTCTATCTAACTCAGCTGCCTATAACAATACAAGAAATCTTGATTGCTATCTTGTTTGGGATGAATGGTATGTGGGATACTAAAAAAACACACTTGCGCTGTGTCTCATTGATATTAGAGACCATACCTTTTTACTCCTTTGTTGAAGCCTTTCTTCTGCTCTGTGATTTCTGGCTTTCTTGTGGAAATAACCTTCATTTTTCATTTCTGCCACTATGATAATTCTCCTTAGAAGACAAATAACAACAGACTTTATTCTCTGATCCATGAATCAAAATAAAATTTTAATTCTTGTTTTCTGTGTATCAAGTATTTTGCACCTGCAACAAAAACCTAATAAAATTAATATTTGGTGTCTAAACAAAAATAAAATGCCAAATGCATCAACCCTTCCCTCAAAAGACTGCGTGCGCTTTCTCTAGGATTATTCTTCACAAATGTCCTTCGGATGTACATGGTTCAGTCTGATTACAGCAACCCCTTCCTTATCAGAATCACTTTTAAGGAGCAACATAAGGTAACCACGAAGAACCCCTGCAGAGACAAAACTCCCAATAGCATTTATACCTGTGTCACCTACTTTCCACTTCTCTACAACTTGTCGCTGCCACATATACTCAAATCAAGTCTTTGAATTGAAACCAGGGGAGTGTTTGTTCCTTTCTGTGTTTATCCAATAAATGTAAAAGCACTATTCTAACATACTGAATATGGATTTAAAACATGCAGGAAATATTACTTACTGGAATTCAAAGGTCCCATGAAATATTTCTACATTACAAAATGTACAGAGACATCAAATCAAATGCAAATTATTTACTTTCTCCTGTATGTTGGTCACTCCCTCACCATTGCATATGAATGATTTCGCAAGCTTCTTCAGGACTAGGGATTTACATATCCTGATTAGCTTTTAATGATTCCCTCCCAACACTTTTGACCCATTGAGTTAGTCAAATTGTAAGCATCTTCTAAGTACCTCTCCCTTTAAAAAAGTGTGACTGACTTATGTTTAATTTCCTGTAGGCTCAGTCACATAACACTATTTCAGTTATCTATTAGAAACTGGGTCAGAGTGAATGTGATGATATTTCAGGTGCACTCTAGAGGCATATTTATTGTGGTAAACAGCCTGATACACCACAAGAGTTGTGAACACACATAAAATATATTACAGTACTGGATCTTAATTTAGGAATTCTGATGCAAGACTTCTTAAGACTCTTAAAACCTCTTACATTAAAATTCTGTACTTTTATCATAATAAGATGGTTACTATCTGGAGAACTAGTCATACTTTCTTGATACAGGGTGACTTGAAGTATAGAAGAGCCAAGGAATGATTAAACTGTGGAACTTGTAAAAATGATTTTTCTGTGTAATTCACAAAGGGATAGAAATGGAAAGCCTCACCTATTGGGTGGGTAAGACTCAGCTGATAAACAAAACCAAAAAAGCTAATCAATTCTGTGAATATCAGAAGAGTACTTAATTGTAGTGGAAGCTGTATTGTTCAATGTACACTTACCATCGTGTTTGGTCTAAACTCACATGATGAAAGAAAAATCTGCTCCCCTCTATGCCATGAAGAATAAAATCTGCAGACATATTCACATGCTTTCTGAAAACCAAAATCACCACTAATTGAAAACTATTAGCCTCACATCTACATTAGGCAATCAAGCTGGCTGAATAAGAGCACACTGTGAATGGGCTAAACTTGCGGGCTGCTTCCCAACCTGGTAGGGTTCTTCAGATTTATTTGAACCCTGCACCACACCACCAGGATACTTGTCCTGCCCCATATGGGCTACACTGTAGAATATGACTAGTTTGAGAAGGCCAAAATATTTCTGTTTGATACTTTCATAGTGTTATAGGCAGCTGAGTTAGATAGAAATATTACAGGCAGTCAGACAGGGCCAGGCCCTCCAAGGAGCCAACATGAAAGGCAAGGTAAGATACCTGGGCCAGACCTCAGGACAGAAGGACTGAACAGATGCACCCACACACCTCGCTAGGGGTGGACCTCAGGGACTGACATTCTAAATAGGTAGCAGTCACCTTGAAGAGTCCTTGACCCAACCCCCTACAGGAAAAGCCCCTGTTCTGTATTCATGCCCACTTGTTACATGACTTGCTTCCCCATTTGATCCCGATTTAATCAATTTTACCTGAACAATTCTTATTGGCTGACCATAGTTTTGTCCATTTTCCCCCTACCTTGGACGTACCTCACTTCATGGTTTTGCTCTATAAAAGTCCCTAGAAAACAGAGAGTCTGGGGTAACCTACTTGGACTCCCTTTCTGTCCCTCTCTTGGACAGAAGGTTTATTTCCCTCAATAAATATATTCTGCTCTTAACCTCTGTTGTTTCTAAAATTCATTCTTTGATTTTAGAGAACACAAACTTGTCCCAGATATCATTCAGGTTGGGAGTTTTTATTTTCCTGTATCAATAGGATATGCACAGAGAAAGGCTGAAGTGTGACTGAAAATTCATGCTTGCTTGGTTAACTTAATGAACCTAATCTCCAAATTTAAAGAAGAGTATAGGGGCCGGTTGAAGTGGCACACATCTACAATCCCAGCACTTGGGAGGCTGAGGTAGGAGGATTGCAACAAGTTTGAGGCCAGCTTGGGCTACATAGTGAGTTCCATGCCTGTCTCCCCTATATAGTGAGACTCTGTCTCAAAAGAAAAAGTATAGGGGATGTAGCTCAGAGTAATAATCTTGAGTTCAATGTCTTGTACAGTAAAAGCATCAACCACACCATATTTGAGTCATATTTATCCTAAAGTAACCCTTTTTAAAAATTTTTTTTTTCTGGTACCAGGAATCGAACTTACGACCTTGCTAAATCCCCAGCCCCTAAAGTAACTCTTTTTGTTTACACTTAGATTATGGTATCTACTGAATTAACTCAGAACCTAGAGAGTTTCCTAATATTCAACTTTACTTCAAAAATGATTAGGTGAACTGATCATTTATAACAGAAGGTATACATATGTAACTTTTAATGTTTCTCTTTTTCCTTGAAGTCTGTGACATTTGACTGACTCAAAGTGAGCCAACACACAACCTTTCCTTTATTGTCACACTGAGAACAACCCAACCTAGTAGGAAGACAATCTATGGTAGGCATGAATTTTGCTAACACAATTTACACATGAATCACCAAGGTTTCCACTGCTCTATGGTGGTCAGTGTCAAACTCCACAACTGTTCTGATCACTTGGATACCACAGGCCAGCAAGGACTGCAGCTCAGAATGCACCAAGAGGATCTTCTTGGATTTTCCTCTTGAGGCTCAAGGTAATCTCAGCTCCTTTTCAAAAATTATAACTGCTCTAAGTTTTAATTTGTTGGAAGCTCAATTACAAAGCTCTATTTCTATTATCCATCTGAAGTAGTATCACAGTAAATATCATACTGTTTATGGAGTTCTAGGCAAAATTATTATATTCTTCACAGACTGCCACACCCCAGGACGTATGAGAATGCATGTAAAATATACTACCACGGAAACATAGGTCAGAATTTCAACACAAATACTTCTAAAACTCTTGATATCCCTGAAGTGAAAATTCTGAGCTTTGTTTGCTAACAAAATGGTTAGTGACTGGTAGCTTCTCAGTAGGGAATGTGTTGAAATCCAGAGACCAAAGAATGCTGAAAATATGGACATTTTTTTAAAAATCACTTTTATTTGTAATTGATAAGTGGGTTGAAATAGTAAGCCTCACCCACTGAATTTGTAGAAAGTGAAAAGTGTTTGAGACATAGTTATCAAAACCCAGAAGCTAATCAATCATATGAATGTGCCAGGAAGTTATGTGAAATTCCATAAATAAGAGATTTGACAGAATATCAGAGCATGTGTTAAAGGTATGAACAAATTGTGGACATGATAAAATCAAAAGGTAAATTGGTAAATTTTTGGTAAATCAAAAGGTTCTTTTTTGGAG